GAAATATGCTCTGTGGACACTGTCACGTGGTTAGAACATTGAATAGGGGAGAAGGAGTCGAAACATGAAAATTGGAGATTGAAAAACTTGTGCATTCAGTGAAGCAGGTCTTTTTCAGGGAGTGTCTCAACTGCTTTTGTCCATGATTGTAGACGTTTCATACTGAACATCTAAGTGAGACCAAAACCCATGATTTACACTCTCAAGTGAGGTGACAAGCATCCCCAACCATTTCACATAGGATTCCCACCCCCACCCCCCTCAGTATGACAGTGTAGCATGATTGTCTGGGTGAAGGAAGTTTTTTAAAAACCGCTTTGTGCAAACTCTTGTCTGAAACCAGATGCAAAAAGGGACTTGGAAACTGCCTAGCCATTGCAGTAATAATTATTTTGTTATTTATTTAACTGACTCATACTTCAGCAAGAACTTTGAAGAGTACTAAAGAAGTGTAAGAGTGGCTCTGGGCAGAGCTAAAGCACAAATCGAAAGTTTTATAACATTGACAATGGAAAGAAACTACTCTCGCAAAGTGATATTACAAATAACTTTCCTCACACTGTGACTGTGCAAGGATTTTGATGCATGCCTACAGTGTACGTATTGTGAGTGTAATAGTGTAGCCTTACAAGCTATTTTGTCACAATAGTTGCTCCACGTACCCATTGTTCCAATTTAAAAATTAAAGCAAACATCAGAATGAAAATAATGCTTGTGGATTTTGTCATAGTGTACCTGCAACAAAACACCATCAGCTTCAGTTACCTGATTTTTAAATTCCTTTAAATCCTTTTTAACTGTGATTGGAAAAGTGTGTACATGAGAATAAAAATTTGTGGAATTCTGTTGTTTGCATGGTGTAGTGGAGATGAAGGTGGATTACAAAGTCAGAGATTGGGTGTTAGAATCTACTATCATGGTTAATGTTGTCGGGTTGATATGGGATCCTGGTGGGGGAGTGGTAGGGTTAGAGACTGGAAGGGGTGGGTGGTGTGCATGTTATTACTTTTAAAGCTTCTGCAAAAAGTGGAAAACACAACATATGGAAGGGATTTTACATCTATAAACCTTTAAGTAGTAAGAAACAGGGTAGGAAAGTTTAATTTAAAAAAATACATCATGACAGGTTCTCTTAAAATATAGGAAAATAAAGTTTGGCTTGAAAATATTAGCCAAACGTAAGGGAAAATTAATGGACCCTTTATCATTAAACAAATAACAAGGACTCGACTGTGTCCTGTTCTGTGGCAAAACACTTAGGAAGTGATAGTGCATTCAAGAAGTAGGGAGAAACACTCAACTTCGCCTCGTGTTTTCCCCTACATTATACGTATCTTTCATGTTCTAACTAGTTCAGAGCAGATCAGATCAGACCACAGTCAAGGCATCTTTATTTGTTAATTGGAAAACTAACAAGTTGTTGTCCCCGATTTGCTAATAAATATAATTTGGTGGGAACCTTTTATTAGTGACAGAGATTTCTGCATCTAATATAGAGAAATGTTCTCCCTGGGGAATTTATTTCAATTTCAATCCTTCTTACATATGAACTGTAAATCTTTCTGTGTACATGTACTTTGGTATTATTAATTAATAATAATAATAATAATAATAATAACAATAATAACAACAATAAATAATAATAAAAAATTTATATAGCATCAGTATCCTAACGTTCAAAGGCACTTCTTAAAATTTATTACTATTTGGCACCTACAGTGAAACTGTGATGAGCATTAAACTCCAATTGGAACATCCAATATCTAGAGCACAAGCCATGGCTGCATAAAAATACATGAAATCAAAACAACTTACTAAATAACATTTCTCTACAATACAATCCTAGCCAGCATAAAAATTAATGTGCAAATTCTGAATGTGTGGGAAGTTTAAAAATGCACACATGAATACATGCAAGTATGCCTGTAGGTATAAATTTTATATTTACGTTTTTATCAATATGCAGTAAAAAGCACATGCAGAATTTATTGGCCAAACTTTTTTTTTTTGAGAGGAAGTGGTCATTTACACTCAATAACTCAAAAGAGGTAAAGATAAAGCAAGTTTATTCCTACATGGTTATTATTAAAGGTAAAAGATTGTGCAGCCTTGTATATTGTACATGAAAAATAAAATGTACTAAACATTTATAACAAGCGCAATTGGCAGGAGGCTGACTGGTCTACAAAGAATGGAGGATTTAAATAATTTAGGTTCACTGAGCAGTGGCAACTCCATCTGCTGGCAGGAAAGAGGATTTCATCTGCTTATTGTACCCTCAGATAAAAGCTCTCGAGAGACACTTTTATGTGTCACTTTGGTATTGGTATTAACCAGGTTTCACTGTACCAAATTTTTTACAAATCATTCAGTTTCATTCACGTACCTGTGGGTAAGACTCTTTTCATGTACACAGACCAAGGCAAAATTATTCTTTTCTTCTCAGTCTTAAGCTCCCATAGCAGTCGCAGAACTGCAGCAATGACAAATACCAGTGCATAGTGTACCACTGAGACACTCAATGGGAAATGAAATCTCTAGAATACAACCAAAATCAATCCCATGAATGAACATGTGTTAATTCTCATGCTACATGTATGAATGATTACCGGTATTTTAAAATCAATATAATGTAATAACAATAATAGTAATGCAAGTGATTATATGAGAGACCACATATTTGAACTGCAGAGAAAGATATGAAGATATGATTGGTCATTGCAGTTATACACACAACTTAAGCAGTTGTGAAATTATTGATCAAGCATATCTTCATATCTTTCTCTGCAGTTGAAATATATGGTCTTTCATATAATCACTTGTGTTCTTCACCATCTGTGGGTACATTACGAACTCACAATGTGACCAGCTCCCAGTTGGCTTGATAGCTCAGTCGGTAGAGCACTGCACCACTATCGCAGAGATCATGGGTTTGAATCCCGTTCAGGCCTGAATTTTTTTCAGGCTTAAATTTCACAACTGCTTAAATTGTGTGTATGACTGCAGTGATCAATCATATCTTAATAATAGTAATAGTAATAGTGATAATAATTATAATAATATAATAATAATAATAATAATAATAATAATAATAATAAAATTTTTAATGCGACTTACCATGGAATGATCAAGTTTGCTTTACATCATAAAATTAAAACTAATCCTACTACCTAACTAAAAGACGCAAATTTAAGCTTACGTAGGTTGCTAAAAATTATACATATTGCTCTTTTTATCGTTTTAGTGTGCAAAAATAGAGATTGTAACGAAACTAGACCATCATATGTAGATTTCCATCATCGAAAATGTCTTTTTAAAAATCGGTTTGGACATTTCGAGGCCACGTTTAATTTGTGATAAGCTTAGTGATAACAATTAATAACCAATTTGCCACAAACCTGTAACAACCATCTGTTGTAAAATGTCAGACTGATCGAGAAAATGTACATAAACAAGATGAGACCGAGAGTCTTGATGGCTCCTGCCAACTGCTGGAAGCCAAACAGTTTTTTGGCCATTAGAACAATCCACTGGAGTGATCAGAAAATCGAAAAATTATCCATGGTGACGTGGCCTAGAGTGAGTTTTTGACGAATTTCAAAATTGTACTCGATCGTGGGTACTTCAAAGCACAACCTAAAGATCTCAATGAGTTCATTTCTAGTTGAGACGAGTTGCTTTCAATAATGCAGTTTCTTTTAGTGAAAGAAATCCAATCGGCATAAAAACATCTTCAACGTCGAACTCCGTCCACCATCTTGCTTAGTAACCTCTCCACCCAACCCGACAGTTTCAAAAAGCACCATAGGTCCGCAACGCAAGCATGGATACAAGAGACTGTTGTATTTTATTGAGTTTATTACTACCACAGAATATGTAAATGAATCCTTCCCAGGTGAAATTATAGCCTTAAACGAGCATTAAAATAATTGGGCAACGGTTGAAAAAATATCGTTTTTTGTCAGTGGTCCGTTTTTGGGGGAGTCTACTCGTTTTTAGTAGCGGAAGATCCCTTTTTTTCCTAATGAGGTCAAATATGGTCCTAATAAGATTGTTCTGGTGGGTTTAAATTTGTATCTAAAGGTAAATACGAGAAACACTGACATGCGAGGTGCTCTAAACCTTTAATTTGAACAACAAACCTTAATTATCGCGCATTATTTAGTCATTAGTAATATGCAACAGGAGTACATGCTGTCCAATTTGGAAATAATTGGATAAAAAATTCCGAGGACAGTCAAAATCAGAAGAGGCCATTAGCCGAGTCCAATTTGTCCGTCATAGAAATGTTTTGAATTCAATTATTTCTAAATGATGTAGCCTGCTTTTCGTTTT